AGGTATCGATTAATGGTGCAATATTTCGTAAAAAAAATAAGGTGTTTACAATTACGAAAAAAATCGCTTTTCTTAAATTTTGCAAATACAGATAAGGCCCAGTGATATATTATTTAATCCATCATTAATCACAAGGGCCATTTTAAAACAATGACACATTACTCATGTTCAGTTGTTCATGCTATGTCGAGCTTTGTTACTATTCTGTTTACATCTATAAAGAATATCATCAGTTAACTGAAACTCATAATAATACACAATTAGTAAGAGCGAGCAGTTATAAATGTTACACCTTCCCAGTAAGATTTCCGGTTTCAGATTTCGTCACAAGACGAGAAGACAGAGAGTTGCGTATATGATTACATCCTCTGCAGGGCACGCGACGTGTCAGACCTTAGGGCTTCTAGCGTTATTGTAGTTAACAACACATTGCTGTCTGTCTGTCTGGTATTGCTTAGTCTGCTATGGCTTAGGCACTGGGAGAAATGCATTGTCTCAACTGCTGCATTTGGATAGGTTGAACACCACGAAGCGAACCGACTGCAATCCAATCCCCCTGCTTTGCTTCTTATATATCCAAATTTACAACTAGATAAACAAACACATACTTAACAGTCATTCTTTGCTAGTGGTGCACTGCAGGGGGGGCATAACAAGAATGTTATTTAAATTTAGATAGCCAACCAAATTCTCATGACATCGTTGTGTATGTTTCAATAACAAATCAAAGAAGCTGCATGAGCAAGGAGGATGCTGTTATAAAAGCAAAATAAGAGAAAAAGCAGAAAATATATCGAAATTACCCTCAAAATGGCGTCCTTTTTTGTGGAATTTCGACCCTACCTCTATTTAGGAACAGTTTGTTTAGGGTTTGAATGAATTATTGAAGCAGGGAATACAGNATAGAATTTCCATAAGGTATCGATTAATGGTGCAATATTTCGTAAAAAAAAATAAGGTGTTTTCAATTACGAAAAAAATCGCTTTTCTTAAATTTTGCAAATACAGATAAGGCCCAGTGATATATTATTTAATCCATCATTAATCACAAGGGCCATTTTAAAACAATGACACATTACTCATGTTCAGTTGTTCATGCTATGTCGAGCTTTGTTACTATTCTGTTTACATCTATAAAGAATATCATCAGTTAACTGAAACTCATAATAATACACAATTAGTAAGAGCGAGCAGTTATAAATGTTACACCTTCCCAGTAAGATTTCCGGTTTCAGATTTCGTCACAAGACGAGAAGACAGAGAGTTGTGTATATGATTACATCCTCTGCAGGGCACGCGACGTGTCAGACCTTAGGGCTTCAAGCGTTTTTGTAATTAACAACACATTGCTGTCTGGTATTGCTTAGTCTGCTATGGCTTAGGCACTGGGAGAAATGCATTGTCTCAATTGCTGCATTTGGATAGGTTGAACACCACGAAGCGAACCGACTGCAATCTAATCCCCCTGCTTTGCTTCTTGTATATCCAAATTTACAAATAGATAAACAAACACATACGTAAATAAAAGAGGGAAAAATGCTTTTCTTGATTGTTTATAAAGCTCTCTGTCGGGGTCTGTTAATACTTTATAAGGTTAAATATAGATGGTGACAACGATAGAGAAACGGTAAAATTATATCTTTCATTTTTGATAGAGGAACACGATCAAGACTCTTTGGCATGGAATCGGGTATTAGTGCATGCATTTGCTTGAAATTGAATCTCTGTGTGTGTACGTTCCCTTGTTGGGGGGGGGGGGGGGGGTAAGTGATGGCAAATTGCCTCGATCATGTTTTTCACTCTATGTACGATGGAGAACCTATACGCTGTTTTAGTGACAAATTTTGCTGGGAAGACGATTTAGATGTAAATTATTAATTTTTTACGAAATTTGACGAGGCAATTGTGTGTCGAATCCAGCAAAGATCTACCTAAATTCTGTAAATAGGCTCTGGCATTGTTCAGTCTGATATGTCCTAAGCCTGGGTCACACTACGCTAGCTACCTTTTTGCCTCCTTTAGGCAACCTCAATCGCAAGTAGGTTGTCATGGGTTTCATATTTCACATAAAAAAAAAACAAAAAAAAAACAAAAACAAAAACAAAAAAACATTGAAAACAACTCATAGAAATATTATATATCAATTTTACCACCAAAACAGCGGTTATCTCGATTATTCTGGAATATGTGCTTACCATCAGACCACGTGGATCTTCATAATGGCTGTACCTCCGTAATTATCTCTGAAGAGATTATTACGAAAGAAACTAACGGACTAACTTTGAATGTCGGGAGGGATTAATTTACCATTGGTAAGCATGGGCAAATCGTCATTTATCTCTGGACATTCCTTTTTTTGTTTGTTTTTTGGGCCAAAGCGAACAGTTGTTATCCCTTTATCCCTTAAACCCCCTTTAACACAGAACGGCGCCCTTTTTTACGTCCTTTGTGCGACCATGAAATTGTCATCGCTGTGGTCGTAGAAAGGAGACACAAGCATTGTTTTGGTTGAAAGTGAATGCACATGATCGTCCAGTTGTTGGCACGTAAATTATTATTATCATTTTTACTCTCAAAAGGGGCCATACTAAGGGACGCAGAGAGGACGTCGTCCAGTGTTAAGGAGGCTTTAAATTTATACAGTCGTTATTCATCTATTCACCACACCTTAGGGCGTATTCCCAGACATTTAGATCGATCTATCCCCGTGGGGAGTCTCACAAGATTACTGTCAGATTGGCCGGCTTAAGCGTCTGTCCCGCCTATTACAAGCTGTAAGGGGGTAATTAACTTTCGTGCCGGCTCGGCTGACAGCTATTTAGCATGAACCCCCAGGGAGTTAGGTCGATCTAGTTTGGATCGATCTAATCTCTGAGAATAGGGTTTTAGGCCTTGACGTGGGTGTCAGCCGCGAATCAGCTTGGCGTTAAAGACGTTACTTTTTAATTGGTTCATATTCAACATGCGTCTGTAAATTTTTCTTGTGAAGGGGAGTTGGGTCGTTGCCATAAGGACACAGTTGACGTCGCTGGTCATCTCTGGGGCCAGCTCGTACCCAAGCACCATGGTTTCATAGGGCCTGAATTCTTCATTTGTTATATTCCCGTAAGATGCAAGTTTACTGATACACCGTTTCTCCCAATATTGTTTTTCAAGGTCAAACTGTTTCAATTCTCTCTGCATTCTGTCTACACCAAACGTGTGGACCCTTCTCCAGAATGTTTTATTAAAGTGGTCATAGAGTTTCATGTCGCCACCGTGTGTTATTTGAATGTTCCTTGTTCTGTTCAAACTTATTATCTCTGTTTTGTCGTCGGTCTTCTTGCGCGCGTTTTGTCGGAAGTAAACTATATCATGAAAGGACCAGTTAAGCAAATATTTCAGTAATATCAGTGACTCATCAAAATATTCTGCTATCATAACTAAAGAGAATACTTCGTCTATCTCCAGAATTTTATTATAAACTTTGGTCTGATTCAACGAATCTATTGGATCCATCCCTAGGTCGAACAACATTGGATTCGTAAACACCATGTTTAATCCTCTGACAATTCCGTATTTGGAATAATATTTGTGAGGAGCCTTTAGGAAAGTATCCATATCTACGTGCAGTCTCTGAGCAATTTTAAAAAAGGCAAACCAAGATTCGACCAGTTTTACTGGATGCCGTAAAATAGTTATGAACACTGTCCCTATTGGTACCACGTCCATCATGGCGCTGCTGTAACGGGCGTGGTGGCACAGCATGTCGTAACGCCCAGTGGCCAGGGGGAGAGCATAACCGGGGAGAAACTTCTCTGGGTAGCCTAGCCTGTACAGGACGGGCGAGGCTCCTAGAGCGAATGTCAAGTTCCGCATTTCACCAAAGCGCATTAAAATGTTGAGTACCGTGCTGCTAGCAGTTTTGTGTGTCTTGAGAAACAGGACATTGGTCACCTTTGACGTTCTTTTTGCGTCCGGTATAGCTGTAGAGGGTGGAGTTTGAGTGTCAGAAGTGACCACAGTTTCTGTGAAACCCCTGTCCTCTCTGTGTGGACACGCTGGCCGTGGCGTATTGCGGATTGATACATCATCAAACACCATGTACTTTATATACACTAACAGCAGCAGAACACCAAGTGCAGACATCGCCATTATGTGGAAACCGTAAATGGCCATGGTGTTGCTTGCTGGAAAAGTAAAATGTAGTACATTATCGCTGTAGAAAGATAAGAAAACTGGATAGTAATCCTATCTCACTTTCAGACAAAATTTACTAGACTCGTTTACAATTTGTGTACCGGTAAGTAAGCCTGAGCATCTCTGCTATATTTCATGGGCATATTGGGCATATTTAACTCGTGATTCATCTCTCAACCTTCGTGTTTCAATGGTACTTTATATGAAAACTGTGTTAATTACTGGTAGCAATCCCCAAACAAAGAAAATAGAATCCAGCTGTCATCTAAAAAAGGCCTGTCCTTCTCTGTCGAAAGCCAGGGTTTATAAACAAATTCGCCGTTTCTGACTTGGCGCGATTTACTTATTTTGATCAAAACTGTGCTTCATCTTTATTGCATCAATTTTTTATTCATGTGACAAATTTATGTCTATGAAGAAATCAGTATACTTTTCCATTAGCAGAAACTGTGTAAAAGTGACACATGATGCACGTTTAATGTGTAATGATACTTCGTTTACGTGGTTAAACCATCACCTTTCTCTTCGTCTCCTGTTACATACATATTGCAGTATATCATACTGATGATGTTTGCTATACATCAACACATTCATCGCTGGTGCACCTTGAAAAATAACAATAGCCTTATTTGTAATTCATTTTACTCAAGTTTTTATATAATGACAGCGTGTTTAGAAATAATGGTTCAAGACATGGCCCGGGATGTATTACACATGTACTATCAGTTGCAGGGCAATACTTATCCATCAAAAAAAAATGTTTTAATTCATCTCCAGTCAACATTGATATTAAATTTTTTTGTCAGCGTCTTTTAGCTAGAATGACTATCGAAGGTGGTCTTGAGATTCTTCATGTAAGTCGGCTAATTTTAAATTTACTACGTTCTGTCTCCTTTGCATACCTGTAGCTGTAACCAGAGACGAATTATTCAAAGCCGCCACCAAACTTTTAATAATTAAACAGCATGGCTTTCGACCAAGTTCAATTCAATCATATAACTCTATGGAAATAACGACCATGCTTTGAGTATAGGCCTTGATATCGCATCTAAGCAAATTGTATCATTTTAAAATAGCATTTGCCAGTCGATAACAGTTATACCCGGGCACTTCACTGTGCTGTATTGTTGGAGGCAATTGTATAACTACCGTTGCAAAATGTCACAAAATAGCAAGGCGGGACCCTGCGGAAAAAAAGGTTGTTCATTCGCGAAGAAAGACGTATGGGATTACGGTTGTTGAAAGGCCGTGTAAAAGACAAAGGGGTACCCCCGCGGAAAAACGTTGTTCCGTCGTGCTTTGTAAAGCCCAGCTTGCACTGTTCTGACGTCATTCCGCAGAGACTGGAAAATCGGAAAGATTAATTTAATTCGTATTCCATTTTTCTGATATACCTCAAAACTTCCTCTTTGGAGCAGTGCGCAAGCATTCCCTTTTTTTCTGAAATACGTCAAAACTGCATCTGTGGTGTACAGATGAAGTATTCCATTTTCGCACATGTAATATTGCTGCGTCAGCGCAGTGCAGCAGAAGCACAATACTAATAAACATATTTGAAACGTTTCTATCATTCTGCTAATCTACTGCATTATGCTATTCTCTGTACATTCATGTTTTTTTTTGTGTGTGTGCAGTATGCTACCGGTATACTGCATCTATACAGTTAACATGGCCACACCACTGCGCCACTAATGCTAAAAAGCTACTTCGATAATTCTGAGTTTTGATTCATATATATACATGTATATATAGCTACAACTTCTTTACTATTCCCAACACCCTGAACAATGACGACTTTACTTTGGAGCTGCTTTGGGCTCATATTTGACGTTGATAATGTCAAATGGGCATGGATTACTGTATGGAAGAAAGAAGCCACGATACCAACATACGTAAATAGTTGAAACATCTTTACCATAAAACACACATTCTCGAGTGTGTGATAGACATTTTTAGCAACAGGGTACATGCACTTATCGCAGGCATCATTTT